GGACGAGCCGCGGAGGTGGATGAAGCTGGGCAGGCGTGCGATTGTGGTGTTCTGTGCGATGGACAGAATGAAGCTTTGCAGGATGGGCACTGGAGCGAGAGGCAAGTGTATCAGCATTTTGAGTCAGCACTTAGGATCACGTCTCGCTCGAATCACAACTCGACACTCACAACAATGTCCACCATCAGATGCTTCTTGCACCTCTTCTCTGCGCATATCCTCTTTCCTGATTGCTGATTGGCAGCATCTCCAATCGCTTCCCTTCTCGTGCCATCCGAGTCCAAAGCGATGCATTCCGTATGCCATTCCCATTCCTGCTCTCTCGCTCCAAAGCCACCCAGCAATCTGGACTTTGCAGCAGGTCCGTTTCCCATTGTTCCCTTCGAAGAAGAGCCAGCTTTAGGGACTCGACGCGCAGTCAAATGCGTTGTGAGGGCCGCTTCGGCAGATTCGGAGCCTCTTTTCCATGCTGGCGCTTCACCGCACAGGGGACACAGAGGTCTTCGCACATCCGCCTCTGACAGCGCCTTTCTTCCAGCCGAGCATTTGTGCACCGAAACATCAAAGTGAGAAGAGCAGTATGGATCGTGACAACTAAGAGAGGTGAATGCGGCCGGGAGTGTCAGCTGCTGGGACAAGCCAAGCCCTCTTTGTCCAGTCAGATCGTGCAGTGCAGGCTAGAGGACCTACTCACTAAGCGCACTTGAGGGGCAAAAAGTCGCTTTGACGACAGTCTGCTAGCGTGCATTGCTGCCCGATGAACATCAGTTGAGGGTTGGGTGCTGTCATCTTGTGACTGTGATGGTGTGCGTGAGGATGTTGAACAGGTGGCGTGCAGAGAAGCACAAGCAAGCGGTCGAGGGAGTGGCAAGTGAAGAATCGGGATGAACCTCTTGTGTCTCGCTCGCTCTTGTACGAGATGGTGGCAGCATGCAAGTGCGTGTGGAGTGATGACGACGCTATGAACGATCGCAACTTGGTCAGGGATAATCACCAATCAGAATGTGAATCAAAATGTTTGCCCCTGCTGCTGCGCG